CACATTTTAAGAGCTACAAGTCAAAGGGAATTTGTTCGATTGCTCTCAAATTTTGACAGTAGCTAGTTTTACATATAAACAACAAAAATGTGTCTCCGAATTTCTTATTTCTAATTGTTTTTCTCAAGAGCGATTTTTGTACGATCTCTCCACATTTTTTTAATCCTATTTCAAAAATGTTCTGTAACTTTTCACTGAAATTGAATACGGCAAATGGCAGACACGTTGTTTTAGCGCTTTGGCCCCGGAAACGGAGAAACGCGTTAAATAAGCGAAAAACAAACTTCGCTTTGACATGTAACGCTCTTAACTAAGATATAAAATCTATTGTGTATATATTATGGCAATCTGAAGCTACTCTGAACTTGTTGGAGGGCCTCATGGATGCTGTGGTTCTAACCTGACAAATGCTTTATGTGAGGCGATAGAAACATGCAGAAGAAGCATCAAAAGTCACCTGAAGTTTCATGACTGCTTTGATTCAACATTGAAAACAGAGACAGATCTTCTTCCCACCAGGGCAAGTAACATCTCAATATTTCTCACGATTTCTTATTGATTCTGTAGACGTTATGTAGTGTATAAACAATAAGAGAACTCGAGAAGCTACCTAACGATGGTCATTGAAGGCATTGTACATTTAGTTTTCCTTCAGTTTTTTTTTTTTTCCCGAGTTATATTCCCTGCATTAATTAATAAAAGTATGAGAAAATTAGGTTGTTGACCGTGGTGATGACAGCGGATAAAGACTTGCTTTTCGTTATAACAAGCATTTTCATACTCGAGTCCCCAAAAAAACGTTCAAGCATGAGTAAATGTTCCCAAAGAAATAAGACGAAGAAGGAAGAGTGCTAGTGTTTCTGGTGACGGACCCGTGCTCCTGCAATTGTTGCCTAGGACTTGTGGGCCTGCCTGTCACGCGAGCCTTATTGGACATTTCGAGACAGCTGAGGGCAGTTCGCTGCAGCGAATACACAAACAATATTTGGCGCTGATGCACGGTAGGTACAAATTTATAAAAAAATATTCAAATCAAAGTGTAAATATTGGAAACATCTTTATTTTACGATTTGTATCCGTCCTTGGCCGCTTCGAACTGGACGATGTTACATTTTGGCTTGTTTTGTTTCGAAAACAACCACTAAAATTTTAAATCTCAGTTAACCTGAGTAGCAGAAGCGTCAAATGTTGGTCAAAAAAAACTTTTTATTCAGATTGGTAACGGTATTTTGCTTCCAAAGGGGCCTGTTATCCTTTCCACGTGTGCCTTGTTGATTTTTCACTTCCAATTGTGTGACAAGGAATAGCGTGTTTTGACCTCTGAGTCATTTTTGTTTGGGGTCCTACAATTCGTAGTTTGAGTAGCCCAAAAGTTGTATTGCAGTTATTTGAAGAAGAAACCTTGTTCTTTCACTGGATTAACTTGATATAACCCCATGCCATGTACTAAGGTGCGATTTTACCCTCTCTATTTTGCCATTTTTTTGTCCGCCAAAATGAGTGAAATATTGGAAAAAAGCAAAAACTCCCCCAAAATTTAGATTGCAATGGAATCGAATAAAGAGCCCTTCAGACTGTTTATAAATACGTGCTCTTTTCATTAGGAAAATATTTGGTCACATTTACTATTTTGTTTATTTTCAAGCGACGTTCAAATAATGGTTGTCAAAACCTCGTGAAGCTGACGTGAGAGCCACAAAACCCATTTTGCCGACGTTCGTGAAAAATAAAAATGCAATTGAACTCAAAGTATATTTAATAGAAATAGTTTATTCAGGCCTATATACTGGCAAAGTTTGGAAACTTACGATTTTTTCATAATCCACAACTCCGGGCGATATTTACGGACGGCTGCTCTTAAGAAACCAGTAAAGTTAGGTCGCAGACCAATAAAGTGGAAAATAAGAATCTTCCCCTAACTTCGTGAGAGAGCATTTTTGCCTAACACTTCACTGCTTCTGAATGCATGAAGATGGACTTGATCGATATCTTGGCATCTCCATTCGCGAATCGGCAAAAGCAGCAAAACATAGAAATATCTCTTGTCTTACTCGAAAGTCATCACCAAACAATTCATGACCTTGATGACTACTTCCACAAGGAATTAAAGACCCCTAGAGGAGCAGGACGGCTGTATGCAGCCGTTGCTGGAAATCGATCGATATTTCCACGTGCATTCTACATGATATCATCTCAAGCACGCCGGATACAAAAAACGTAATCTAATGTGTATGTCTCCGATCTTACATCCGACAGATTTTGGCTTTTTCACGCAATTATATATATAAAGAATATGCTGCTGCCTCGCTAGGGTTTGCTAGCAATAAACTATCATTGACGTCGTATGACATTATCCAACGCAACGAAATGGGTTTATAAAGATTTTGAAAAAAATCACAGCTCTAAAATAGAATTTTTGTTTAGAGGCTGTGCGAGCATTCCTTGTATACAACAAAAAAGTTTGTTTTGTTACGAAAGTTTCCCTCGTGTTTCAAGATCTTTCAAACTCGAACGGTATTTCGGTTAACATTTTGACGTCAGTTTGTATCCTTGTGATTTGCAGAGAGGCTGAGTAAATCGAGGCTATGCGAACGAGGTGAAGTCTAAAGTTAATAAAAACTTCGGCAGAAGCGTCTGTACTCTATTCTTCAGCCTCAAACTTCCAGATATTATTGCTTGATTATCTATGACTTGGGCTATTTTACAACTAGATGAGTTGCTCACATATGACTTGAATCAATCTTGCATGAAAAAACTGGAAGCATTTAATATAGTATTGTCCTTCACCTCTGTTGTGTTCTTGAAAATTACAGTGAAGGGATTCACTCGTGGGATACACAACATAATTGTAAAATCCATTAGTTTAATTTTTAGTCTGAAAAAACTTAGTTCTCAAATTTGTTCAGCGTCAATATGTCTCCTTTCCTCTTAAAATTAAATTCAATTGAATTGTGCGTTGAGTGAAAAATCTTTTTAAAATCTAGCTAATCCTTAACAAAACTGAGTGATCAGTAAAAATATCGAGCTCTGTAATGAGCTTTTAAATTGTTTTCTGACATAAGTCGACCTTTGCTCGCGGCTGATTTCCAGGCAGGAAGTATATTGGAACAATCTTTAGGCCAACAAGGTTACAAAGCAACTAACAACAACCTTCTAGAAAAGTTACCAAGACACTCGTGAAGGATTTGTTATCGCGCGTCCGACATTTTGAGTTGCCCAAAGTTGGTGAGGGCCATGCACAGGTCTTACAGTTTCTGCCGCCTCTCGTCGGCAAAAGATTACTACTGAAACCAATCAGTCTTAAGATTTAGGGATTTCGCTGCACGTATTTACTTTACCTTGCATTGAAGAAGTCAATAATACCTTTGTAGGAGTGATAGATCTGCTTGGTGGTGGAGGCGGATTAGTGGAATATAAGGCTTCACTGTTGGCATCTCATGGATTCGCTACTCTTGCGTTAGCCTACATCGGTTATGAAGATCAGCCACTGTCTCCATCTTCCATAAACTTGGATTACTTTCAAGAAGCTGCTAACTGGCTTGTAAGTCACCCTAAAGTCCTTCCACATGGCATAGGCATGCATACCATTTGCTATGGGTCATGGATTGCGCTGTTGATGGCAAGATATCAGATTGCAGCAATAAAGGCCATTGTTGCTATTTCACCTCTGGTAATCGCCTACCTTCACCCTTTCCAATTCAAAGGGAGAGTCTCTAACGTGATCCCCCCTAACAATAGTAGAGTGCTGTCTTCAGAGAAAGGTAGCATCTGGCGTTTCGCTCTGTCAACTGACCTCGGCTACATGAATCCAACAGTCTCCAAATACTCAGCTATAACACCAGTTGAGAACATCAATTGCCCAGTGATGTTGATTTCTGGAACTGACGACTTGAACATCCCCGCTGAATTTGCGGTGAATTTAATTGTTGATCGCTTGAAGGAGAATGGAAAAGAACATTTATGCATTAATCTGCGTTATCCTCAAGCTGGACATCTCATCGAGCCACCTTACTCTCCTCTTTGTGATTCCTCTTTCTACAAACCTTTTAAGGAGTTGGGTGGTGACTCTTATGCAGCGTGGGGAGGGGAGACTGGTGCACATGCCTGGGCACAAGAAGACTCTTGGCCAAAGATTTTACACTTTCTGCGAAAACATCTCCGACAGAATACAGAGAGTGAGTATCGAGAAGGAACATGTACTGATTAAGTCTACAAAGGAATACCTTAGAAATAGGCCTCCGTTAGTTTTAAAAGTGCCTATAGTGTATCTGAATCGTATCTGGGTAACACATCAGGCAGAACGGAACATGATAAACTAGTGTCGTAGGTAAATATGAGTAAATGCCCTCTCTATATATATATATCCGTGGAAAAGGGAGGCGGAGAGGTGGGTAACTATGCAAAGTGTGTAGCTCCGTTGATAAGATATCCTAGTATAGAGAGAGCTGAGGCACCATTAGCAGCGGTGATAGGTATCAATTTTTCTGCCTTTTTTTAAATTTTGACTAGCTTTGCTAGGTTTTCACTAGCAATTCATATTATAATCGTCATTATTATCATCGTTATTGTTATCTTTTTTATCTTTATCATTCAGTCATTGCCATTCTCTGGTGATTAATTTTTTCGAATTTTTTAAAGCGGAATTTTTCTAAGAGTGAAACTCCAGCATAACCAAGTTATCCTCGATATCTAACTATCTTGTCTTTATTCTGATAATAGGCGTGTGGTAGTGGAAGTGAGCATTAAAGAAACTGCTAGTTTTAAAAATATTGTGTGGATTATAATTTCATCAAAGCAGTATTAGAGACTCACGTAAAGAGGAGAAGCTGTTTGGGAGGAAGACAACTATAAGAACCCGTAGCATATTGTAGCCTTCGATTCGTTTGAGTTTTTTGTGTGTGTCTTTTGTTTTCGAATTTATATGCATTCTTGAAGTACAATAAAGTAATGGAGCAGTATTGAAGTCAATAGTAGGTGAAAGTCATCCAAAAATGATACTAAAACGAGAAATTTCATTTACTTCTCTTTTTTTATCACTCGTTTGCAAATGAAAAGATAAATGCACTTACAGGTTACCTTGGCCCCTGAATCGATATCTGGTTTTTTCTAAACGGTTCGATACCTGTACCCGTTTTTAGATCAAAACAGCTAAGAAATCCTATCCCGTCGGGCAAATACCTATCGATGTGAATTAAAAGGGAAATACCTCCACTTCAAACCAAAATTGCTCGCTCAATGAGTTTCATTTTTGTACGAACTAGATACTTTGATTTTGCTCCAGTCAAGCCATGGTATGCTATTCCAGTTAGTAAAGTAATTGTGACTCGCTTAGCTTAGCTGGGGAATTTTCCAGCGAGATGTAACATCGTTCCTTCTTGACTTGGTTGTACAAAGTAATTCAATAAAAAGGTAATGAAATCTTTTACAACGAAAAAAAGTTTATTGGCACTTTGATTTAGGACCTAATCACGATGATATTGACATCACATTTTTTTATTATTGAAAGGTAGCAATATTCTTTAGTCTTCTGGTATTCTTTAAGTAATTGAAACACATTTCCAAGGTTACCGTAAAGTGTTTCTTCCATTTCCCTGTCTCCAATATCTATAGCGTCGGCAAGGGCTTTCTCTTAATTGTCTTTAGCCTTCTTGTATTCGCCAAGTGATTCAGACACATTTCCAAGGCTGCTGTGGCATGCTCCTTCTCCTCTTCTATCCCCAATTTCCAAAGAAATGGCAAGGGCTTTCTCGCCATAATATTCAGTCTCCTGCATGGATTTCTTTAAGTGACTTAGACACATGTCCAAGGCTACCGTACAATGCTGTTTTCATTTCCCTGTTTCCAATTTCGATTGCGACGGCAAGTGCTTTCTTCCAGTTTTCTTAACCCCTCTGGTATTCCCCAAGTAATTTAGTTACATATCCAAGGATAATGTAATTCGCTTTTCCTGTCTCCAATTTCTATTGCGATGGCAAGGGCTTTCTCGTAAGTTAGTCTTCTGGTACTCTCCAAGTGACTCAGACAGAGTTACAAGGATAGCGTAACATTCTAATTCGTTTTCCCTGTCTCCAATTTCTGTTGCCATTGCGGCTTCTTGTAATAACCTTCAGTCTTCCGTACTCTTAAAGTGATTTAGACACAAACCAAGGCTACCGTACAATGCTCTTTCTATTTCCTTGTCTCCAATATTAATAGCCACGGCAAGAGCTTCCTCCCAACTTTTCTGATATCCTTGAAGTGATTCAGACACATTTACAAAGTTTCTGTGGGCGCTTACTTGTTTTTTTCTATCTCTAGTTTCTACAGCAGTGGCAAGGGCTTTTTCGTACTACCCTTTAGCCTCCTGGAATTCTTCAAGTGATCCAGACACATTTCTAAGGCTATCGTACAATGTTTTCTCCTTCCAATCTCCAGTTTCTATAGCGACGGCAGGAGCTTTCTCCCAGTTTTCTTTAGCCTTCTGGTATTCTGCAAGTGATTTAGATGCATAACCAATCATTCCATAACATCCTAACTCGTTATTCCTGTCTCCACTTTCTATAGCGATTGAAAGGGCTTTCTCGTAATATCCTTTAGCCTTCTGGTACTCTCCAGGTGGTTCAGACACATCTCCAAGGATTATGTAAAATCCTAATTCGTTTTTCCTGTCTACAATCTTTATAGCGATTGCAAGGGCTTTCTCGTAATATCCTTTAGCCTTCTGGTACTCTCCATGATATTTATAGCCCAGTTGTGCGGTCAGTATTCCAGCTTCGTGAAACATTTGAAGAATTTGGCTGGTGTATCGTGCTCAGTATGAGTAACCGGAGATGGCAGGGTATGCATTTAATATTACCTCGGTGATATTAGGGTGATTACTGGCTTCCAGATTGTTGAGTAAAATTAAGGTTTCATTGTATACCTCAGACACTTGTAAGCCACGGCCTTTCAGGAGGAGAAATTTAGTAACACCTAAACCTATCCACATGGTTTTGAGGATTCCCTCTGAGTTTTTCATCACGGCACTGTCTATTATAGGTGTGAATGTAATGTGTTGTGTTGTTTTAGCTCAACCATTTATTTAGGACAAAAGTAATACACATAGCAAAACGGCGGGAAAGATAATGCACGTTACAATTCACGCTATGTTAACAACGCGTTACCAAGAAATTGTCCCATTATGTAATCGCACAATCAGATACTTTTACACTGACGTGAGATAAAAACAATTTGAAACAAACTTGAAAGATAGAAAAACAAACAAGAAGATCTTAGCACGATTTCAGGAAACAGGCTTCACCTTCCTTTTCTTAAATAGTAATTTTTTTCACCGACACCTGTTTACTTGGGCACACAATATTTTTTCCTTTCTTCATTCCGAGAGATCAACAATAAATTTGAAATAAGATACTGACTCAAAACTTGATTACTATCTCTCCCTACGTAAGGTGGAAAAATATTTCAAATGAAAAATTTGCTCTTACGGCTTTTTATGAATATCTGATTCTGCGTGATCGGTAAAAAATGTGCTAGAGTGAATACATGTAAATCAATTTAAAAACCTGACCCTTAAACTCATAAAGGTGATATTAACAAATAGAAAAGAGGTAATTAGAGTTCTCAGAATTGTCAGACAGAGTTGAATATTGCGATCTAACAAAAAAGACTCGTAACTGATACTTAAGGAAATGCGTATCACTTAGAAGGGAAGGGGGAGCGATCAGATTTGGGGAAGTAAACGATTTACAGGGGGTAAAATGGCCATCAAATTCTTAATGAGATACATTGAAAAACTCATGCAATTCGCTAAAAAATTGTCGCTGTTGCTCTTGTCGACATTGTCCTCTGTCAATCTATCGATTGCCCGATAAAACTGAGGACTTGAGGGCTGAGGTGGCGTAGATGTATTTATTTCATACGCATGTCTTAATCGAAGTCCAGTTTTTTTTTTCAAGTAAAAGGAAATCCCACTAGTTTAAATTTGTGATTGGATTCAATCTCTAAATCCTCAACCATGATATCCTAGCAATTTCCTTTTCGAACTCTTCAATTACCTGACAAAAGCGAGAACCCTTTTGAACTAGGTTATTAACTGCTTGCATTTAAGATGTGATATCATTTCAATCGGTCGTAACATTTCAGTCACATGTAACACCTCTTAGTAATTCCTCACCGTGATATGAGAATATAAGCAAGGGTTTTTTAAAACTTTTGACGATAAAAATCAACGGTAAAACACGACGTTTCGACAGTGCTTCGGTCATTGTCAAGTGAATGAAATGAAATACAGTAAATATATGTCTATCTACACGTAAGAAATACAAAAAAAAAGTTTGCAGGTGTAAACAAACGATAAAACTGCAAAGAAAGTGCTAGTAAAAAGCTAATTAAAAACCTTAGCACGAATTGAATCAGACTGTACATTGAGAGCAAGTCTTAGCTTGTGAATAAAAAACATCTCCTAGACGAGACAGTCAAATTTGTTCGTGCACTTCATTAAGGTGCTAAAGTTCTTTGTAAGATCCTTTGGAGTCAAATAATGTTTGTNACAAACATTATTTGACTCCAAAGGATCTTACAAAGAACTTTATCACCTTAATGAAGTGCACGAACAAATTTGACTGTCTCGTCTAGGAGATGTTTTTTATTCACAAGCTAAGACTTGCTCTCAATGTACAGTCTGATTCAATTCGTGCTAAGGTTTTTAATTAGCTTTTTACTAAAACTTTCTTTGTAGTTTTATCGTTTGTTTACACCTGCAAAAATTTTTTTTTATATTTCTTACGTGTAGATATACATGTATTTACTGTATTTCATTCCATTCACTTGACAATGACCGAGGCACGGTCGAAACGTCGTGTTTTACCGTTAATTTTTATCCTCAATAGATATGAGAATAATGATAAAAATATACACGTGCTTTAATTATCCCTAAAATAACCAATCCCAAAGTAAACAATTCACCTCGTAATATTCTTAGTAAAGGAATAACTATTCAGAAACACTAGGAAATATGCGCTATGCTTTAATTACCCCTAAAATAAACGACGCCTAAGTAAGCAATTTACCTCGTAATAATCCTTTTAGGGGCATAACCATTAACAACGAGCTTAGATGACATTCAGTGCACTTTTTGAAACTAAATTCCCGAAGATATTATTTGTACTTAGTAAAAGTTTCATCGATGATCATTAAATTTCCAAAGACCAAATGGACTGTGGACTATGA